TTTTTTTTTTTATTTGCAAATAATCTGTGTGTACGCAGCACTTCCAACACTGATCTCACATGTGTCAGATGGTCAGTCCGATTCTTACTGTATATCAGAATATCATCAAAGAAAACCAAAACATACTTTCTCAAAAATGGGCATAGTACCTTATTCATCAAAGCCTGGAAAGTAGAGGGAGCATTAGTGAGTCTGAAAGGCATCACTAAGTATTCATAGTGTCCCTCATGAGTACGAAAAGAAGTCTTGGCAATGTCTCCTGGCTTCATCCGAATCTGGTGAAACCAGATTTTAAATCTAATTTCGAAAAAATCTACGCTCCTCCCAATTCATCCAAGAGTTCATCAATTACTGGTAGCGGAAATTTATCAGGAACCGTCAACTTATTTAGTGCTCTATAGTCGACACACATACGCCAGCTACCATCTTTCTTCTTTATCAAAATAGCCGGGCTGGAGAAAGGACTCACACAAGGTCTTATAAATCCGGATTCCAACAATTCTTGAACGGCCTTCTCAATTTCTGATTTTTGATAATACGGATATCTGTAGGGGCGTATATTAGGAGTTTCAATGCCAGTTTTCAGAACTATGGCATGATCTTGCTTGCGGATTGGCAGTAGTTCTTTAGGCACCTGAAATACATCTTCAAACTTCTTTAACAATGTCTCCATTTCCCTTCATTGACCTTGTTCAGTTACAATCACCTCCTCCTCATGTTGCTGTGATATCCAATAACCTTGCCCCTCATTGGCTAGAGCTTTAACCAGGGATTTCAAAGAAGCGACTGCCCTGGATAAAGACGGTTTTGCCCTGATAGTTACCTCCTGGCCATCCTTTTGAAAGCTTAATGTTAACTCTCTGAAATTTGCCTTGATATTCTCCAATCCTTGCAGCCAATCTAACCCCCCAACACAACATCTGCTCCTCTTAATTTGAACAGAAAAAAATCTTCTTGTAACTCGATTCCCTGTAGCTGAATTTTTACGCATTTACACACCCCCTGACATTCCAATAATTCACCATTCCCCACCTCTACCTAATATCGAGGAGTGTCCTCTACTAACAATTCTAACTCATCCATGATTGACGCCTTAATGAAATTGTGAGATGCTCCGCAATCAATGAGTACAATTACCTGCTTGCCGTTGATTTCGCCCCACATGCGCATCGTTTTACTGGACGACAACCCCAACAAACTTTGGGTAGAGAGCTGTAATGGTGGCCTCTCTACAGATTCTTCACCTCCTCCCACCGCATCTCCTTGTTTCTCTGGCTCATCCTCCTCTTTGCCATCATCCACAATCAGCAAGTGTAGCTGACGGTTACGGCAACGGTGTCCCGGATTCCATCGCTCAATGAAAACAGAAACCCTTTTTTGATCGCATCTGTAATTCCTCTTGTGGCAAACGATGACTCTGAGTTCGATTGTTACTCTCCTGGGATTCTCCTCGATTTGCTCCGTTCACTCCGCTGATTTGATTCGATGAGGTTGCCATCTTCCTCGTAGCGTTCATAGCCCTAAAGTGGTTTGTCCCTAAATTAGAATTATGCGGGTTATTTTGACCCGCATTCAAACCCGAATAGTTTTGGGTAACAAATCTGGTATATGGTGCATAATTGGGCTCCTTTGTATGTGCCAGTCCTCCACCCTTGGTTACTTCTTGGTCCAAAGCCCAATTCTTATTTTCAATATGTTGAGCCTTCAACATCATCTTCTCCAGGGAATCATTTGGTTTGATTAGAAGCTCCTCCCTAATGGAGTCGATCACGCCATTCAACCATAACCCTCATAAGAATACATCGTCTACCTCCCTCAAATTACTACTGATTCGCTCAAAATCTCTACGATACTCTTGGATCGTACCTGTTTGCTTTAATCGGAATAATTCATGGAATGGGTCCCCAACAAATTCAGGTTGGAAGCGTCCCACCACATCTGTATGAAATCCATCCCAGGTAGCATTGTGAGTTGTCCGTTCCAAACGTTGGTACTAATGGAGAGCTTCTGCTTCCATTACGATCATCACTGCAGGAAGTTTCTCCCTCTCTCCCATCTGATTCACCTCAAAGTATCGTTCAGCCCGAGCTAACCAATCTTGTACTCCTTATCTTGAGAAAATAGGTATTTCCAGTTTCTTCTCCTGATTGTCATTTCCTCTTCCTCCGTCTTCCTCTCCCCTCGTACTCCCAGCGCTTTCGTTACGACGCTCTGTTCTTTCCATGCTCATACTCTGTAACATTCTGATGATATCCGCCTGTCCGGTCTCCAAACGGCGAATTCCCTCCTCTGAACGATACAACCTCTCTTGTACTGATTCAAAGCGCGCCTCTATATTTCGAGTCACTGCCATACAACTCTCCCAGAACGGAAGCTTTGATACCAATTGTAACAGTCAAAACAGATGAACAACAAATTTTATTGAAATACTTCTATTATGATATCAATCAATTGTTCTCAACACTGTTACGTACATCTCTTTCTATATTAAACAAAGAAAATTCAGCACTACGATAAAGATAAAAACAAAGGATAATCCAGAAGAATTATAGAGCCCCTGGTCTCTCCCAAATCACCAAGAATGGTGCCCAAAGTGACAAGTCCCAAAAGTGCCTCCATACTGCTGCCTCCCTTGCGTATATCATACCTCCAGTGGTTATACCTCCAATCTCTCTCCACTAACCGAATATAAGTCCTCACCTGCTGACTTAGCAACTTCACATAATAGAATGGACCCATTTAATCCCCTGTGGCCCTTCCTACGGTAAATCTTCATTTTAGGGGGGTCCCTATCATTCTATCTGCTTTGCCTTGATGCGATACTCATCATTTTGGTTTTCACTGTTAATGACCTTCGCCGGAATTCCATCGATAGTTCGATACCACTCTGATTTACCTCTTTCTCCTTCAATGTTCTACTGCTCTCTTCCATAGTTACTGTATCAAGGTTCCTATCATCATCTAAGGGAGAACATAGTTATAAAGGGTAGCTGTAGATAAGCTTATCTAAAGTGGCTGCAGAAATGTTTACCCATATATATATATATATATATATATATATATATATATATATATATATATACTCTGTCATGGTTATGATTTTTCACATCTAATGTTTTCATCTTTTGTATGGTTATAATTTCACATATTTAATATTTTAACATATATATATATAGCAAGTATTTGATTGCTATACATACAACAGCTGTAAATCAACGGTTGTATAGGAAAAAATAAATCTTATGTTATAGGAAAATTCTAATCTCATGTTATAGATACATCAAGTGTGGAACTCACCTATTTAAAAAAACAAAAAAAGAGTGACAAGATACTTTAAACTATTATAAGATACACTCAAGAGAATATGGTATATTTTTCATATATTCTAATAGAGATCTTTCTATTGAGTATTTAATCCTTTTAAAGGCCAAAAATTTAGACTTTTTACATATATATACTAGTATCAGGTGTATATATTGGTAAAATTGCTGTTAATTGCTGTCCTTCTGACTCTTTGCCTGTGTCTTCCAAATGATGAATGACATGAACAACACTGAAACAATTGTTATTGTTTCTTCCTTGAAACTTTCATTGCTTGTGCTTTTCTATTTCTTCCTGCACTCTCTAGCACTTTGTATGCTCATTCTCACTATTTTCTTTCCTGCATATTTTAAGGAAAATGAGTCTCCTGGGATATTGAGGTTAGTTATCTGAAGTGGTGTACTGGTGTTGAATGGTCAATTTGGATAGCGTGGTTTATTTTAGTTGTAGAATAACAGATCTAGGCTTTCTATTAGATAGTTTTCATTGACATTCCATCTATAGATATGAGCTTCTATCACTCTCTCTCTCACACACACAAATGTATATGTATACACATATGTGTATCAGATAGAAGGACCTATTATTAGGATATGTAAAATCATTTAGATTTAATGAGGAGGAAATATAAACTAAAAGAAAAGGAAGGAAATTTTTTTATTAGAGTTTACATCAAGATGAGTCTAACAAGAAGCAGTCACCAATTACTCTTGCTTTCGAAAGGACAAGAGAGCTGGGGCGGGGGAACCATTGTTATGTTTAATTTATAAGCATAAGGAAATGTTTAAAAAAAAAAGGGGATAGAAAAGTCAGAGTAGGGTTTACATTATGATTAGTCTTAAAAAAAGCAGTTACAAAATATCTATATTTCTTTGAGGGGAGGGGGGAGACCAATAAAAAAGAAGATAATTTTGTGTTAAAAGAAGATCCGGTGAAAGTATTGATGCACCATGCATGCTTTAAGTGTTACATAGACGATGTATTAGCACAGATGTAGGAATTACGAACTTGGATTTTATCTATTCAAAAGCTATTGTGTTGGACTGAAAAATATATATAATAGATGGATGAAATTGAAATGAGCAAATAAAATATGAAGCTCTAGTGAAATTTATTTAAGTTTAGATTGTAAATTTGAACGGTTATTATAAAGTTGGTACAGAGTTACAGACTGAATTGAACCTACAAAGAAGGATAAAATTTTGTAAATGGTGCTTTGGTCTGGGAACATGGAGTTTCTGTACTCACAGGTATAGTTTGTGGAAGGAACTTCTAGAATATATATTTTATATTGTAATTTTTTTCCAGGCACGTGATATAATGATGATCTAAATTCTAACCTTTTGTAGATGTGGAGAAACTTAAACAATCAATCACCATAGGCTGCTATGTTTACATTGATTTAATTGTCTAACAGAAAATCTACATATGCAGTAGGCATAAGAAATAAAGTCCTCCTGACCATACATAATGCATATTCATTGTATATGTATACCTTTCGATATTATTTAGTAGTTACGAAGATGATTAAAAAAAATATAATGCTACATATATATAGGTAATACCCAAAAAAAATAAAAAATCTTACATATTCCTGTCCATGAATAATTCTTGACTTGCCTTCAAGAATGAACTTGGCCATTATAATTTTATCATATTTTCCTGTTTTTTTGGCCTAGATTGAAGAGAACATGAAAGCAATTGATGTCATTCCATTACTGACCCCTCCTGTGATGGAGAAGATTGAGGCTGTTGTTCAAAGCAAGCCAAAGCGCCCAGATTCATATAGATGAATTGGTTCTCCATCTGGAACACAACTTATAAGTGCAGTAAATGAGAGGCCCCATAATCCTAGTGCACTGGAATGCTATGTTGAAATTAGTTGGTGTGATTGATGTGATTTCCTCTTCACAAATCACAATTCCTCCTTTTCTTTCTTATTTTTCCTTTCTGGTACTGATTATACCCTTTCTTGTTTATGGGTTCAAGTTTTCCAAATTGATTTTGGGAGCAATTTAGTCCAATGATTGAGGACTTCGGATTTAGGTTTACATTCTCCTTCAATAGGGATATATGCTTATGGTTTGGATAGCTCTAATTTATTTTATAATGTCGACTATTATTTGGATTTTGATAGTCCAACTGCCTTGTCCATGTAGTTAGCTCTACCTACCTAGTGAGGAAAGACTTGGTTATTTTGGGTGCTGCGCAAATGAATGGGGCATAAATTTATTACATTGGTAGCTTATTGAAGGGAGCACATTCTTTTCCAGAACAAACGAATTGCCAAAATATCGTAGGTTCAAATCTTGCAGAGAATTTTTGAGTATGCCGCTTGACTTTATATTAGTTGAGAAATTAGACTTGTCCTTAAAGGGTGATTAGAGTACTTGAAGGTTAGGATTTGTATAAAGAACATATATACAAAAGGTTACAAAAATAGAGATTAATTGGATTAAAGGAATAAATTCGATTCTTAATAAAATCAAAAAATCAAAAATTATAGATAATTGAATATTAATGATAGATAATTATAACATTTACAATACTCTTCCTTAAGCTAGTGTGTATATCACATATGCGTTACAGACAAAGTCTACTTGGGGACCTCAAGAGTGAAGGAGAAAATATTTGCAAGTTGATGATTAGAATTGACAAAAAATATATTGGTCTTATGATACAATCCAACGCAAGCCCAAGCCCAAGAAGAGACAAGCATAAAAGGATTTGGACCTCAACCAACTCTGATCCAATTGATGACTCAGCTATTCTATTGCAATAGAATGAGGGAACACAACACAATGTGAGCGAAGGATTAAATAATGTTGCTGAAGAGGGAGAAAGGCATCCAGAATCAGAATAGAAGAATTGGGATCTTGGGAGTGGAGCCTCTCCCGTTGCTTCACATTATCCTTTAATTTCTGCATCATTTCCTTTCCAGGTAATGTTTCTTTTTGGTTTGTAACGAGAGGCTTAAGCTGCGCTATTTTGTAAATTGTCTGTACAATTACCCCTGTTATCGTCTTTGAATTCATTATTGTAATATTGGTTTTGACAAATTATTAACAGATTTGCGATTCGATTTCCTTTTTCCATCTTGTTTGTGTTAATTACTGGTCGGTCCCTATCAAATTGGGTATCAGAGCTCCGATCTTGGAGCTCTGTGGGATGGTTGTCACGAGAAACATGTCACATGGAAGTTCTGGAGGAAAGGGTGCGCAGAAGTGATGCTCAACACGAAGAGGTACTTCGAAGACTAGAGGCTACAGAAGTAGGCGTCGTTGAAATAATTCGAAGGTTGGATGAGATGGCGAAGCGAAGACGAAGTGGTTCTCATGAGGAGAATGCTGGCCTAAACAAAGCGTTTGGAAGGAGGTTCAGTCTCGCTGCTCCCGTGAATAGGCGAATAGAAATCCCTCTGTTGAGTGGTGAGGACGCTTATGGATGGTTAAATAAAGTGGAGAGATACTTTGTCATCAATAGAATGGCTGAGTCATCAATTGGATCAGAGGTGGTTGAAGTCTAAATCCTTCTATGCTTGTTTCTTCTATACACATTGGGCTTGGGCTTGGGTTGGGTTGTATAGAAGAGACAAGCATAGAAGAATTTGGACCTCAACCAACTCTGATCCAATTGATGACTCAACAATTGATGACTCAGCTATTCTGTTGCAATAGAATGAGGGAACACAACACAACGTGAGCGAAGGATTAAATAATGCTGCTGATGAGAGAGAAAGGCATCCAGAATCAGAATAGAAGAATTGGGATCTTGGGAGTGAAGCCTCTCCCATTGCTTCACATTATCCTTTAATTTCTGCATCATTTCTTTTCTAGTGTAATGTTTCTTTTTGGTCTGTAACGAGAGGCTTAAGCTGCGCTATTTTGTAAATTGTCTCTACAATTACCCTTGTTATCGTCTTTGAATTCATTATTGTAATATTGGTTTTGACAAATTATTGACAGATTTGCGATTCGATTTCCTTTTTCCATCTTGTTTTTGTTAATTACTGGTTGGTCCCTATCAAATTGGTATCAGAGCTCCGATCTTGGAGCTCTGTGGGATGGTTGTCACGAGAAACATGGAAAATCACATGGAAGTTCTGGAGGAAAGGGTGCGCAGAAGTGATGCTCAACACGAAGAGGTACTTTGTAACAGCTCGTTGTACACCGGTGTTGTTAACATTAATTATGATATTAAGCGCAGTTACAATCACAGCAGTTCATTTATAAAAATGCGAGTAAACTTTTTTCGTTTATTACACGAGCATTTAAAATCGTAAAAAGCGTGATAAATAAAAGCTGTGATCATAACTATAAACTCTTGCGGAATACTAGATTAAACTATTTTTATATCTTATTTTACTTACTATAAGACACTAAGGGGTTCCCATAAACCCACTTAGCCAATTTGTCAATCTTACGTTTTCTACCTACCAGAACATGGTCCGGTAATTATTTTACTGCGGACACACCGCACAAAACCAGACCTTCATCTTTAGTTATCTTTTTTTCTTACTTAAATACCTTTCCAATGAGCCATCACACGAGTCATTTCGATCTCGTTTGCTCCGGATATCGCCGTTTGAAGTTGGACAAGCAAAACTGTCAACCAACCCAAAAATAGCTCAAAACATCTCTCACTCCACGAATTACTGCAGAAAATCCACTCATTCAATTGCTTCCAAATTTTTACACCACAAAGTAGACACCTCAACCTTCAATTTGATATATCATACGCTTAATTTGACTGAGAAACGAAGCGGGAATAAAATTCTCAAAAACTGACAGAAATAGCCCCTGCATAGGTACGTTCTGGACAGTCCATGTTCACAAGCTTCTACAGGGATGCGTGCAATCCAGAATATTCTAATATTTTAACACCATGTAGGGGACATCTCAAGCTTCAAAATGGCGTATGGCACGTCCCTATCGGACCTCTGTGGAGGGGGAGATATGCTCTCCCGAAGTTCGTTTAAAATCTGCCAATTCTACAGAAAATTCGCCAGAGTTTCCTTTGTTTTTCTTGAAATCCCCAAATTTGTAAAAGATCTCTAGTACCTCAAATGTACCTAATAACCAATGGGTGGCACACACAAGGACCAACAATGCCTTGAGGCACTTACAACCCAACTCAGTTTATATTTATTACACAATATAGCTCACTTGATAATCCTTAACTTGTTTCAATCACCAAAGTCCATTTTCATGCAAATTCTCAACATACAAGTAATCATAAACCTAAAATAGGCCTAAAGCCCTTCCATTATAGTACATCATGCATCCATCGTACACTTACAACATTTAACTCACATGTTACAACTTACAACTTCAACTTTAAATTACAACTTACAAATTCACAACTTTAATTTACAACTTGAAACATAAAACTTCAAATGACATATGCACTAGACTTAGGCAAAATGACATGAAAAAATATGACTATGAAGCTCATCCTACAAACATATGGGATGTTCATGCCCTAAGTCTAGCCTAGGCCAAGTGGCCACCTGTACCGTTCAGTTCTGTGAGCCCACTATGTACCCTTGAGGGTAATGTTATTATATGGATTACACCACTAGCTGAGGTAAAGACCAGGCTAGAAGGTATAGTTCCAAGAGGTAGCAAGTTGATATCAATGGCAGATAAATAACAAGAGTATGACTTGGAAGTAAATGGGCATAACAACAGTACATAAAAGATCTCTCATGGTGTGCCCCCTAAGGGCTATTTATAAGGAAGATGATGCGGGTTGGTGAGGTGGGGGTCAACCCTTCTTGGGGTGCACACCCATGATGGCAGTGTTAGGCGTGGTTGGCGCTGCCACAATGGCAGTGCTGCAACCACTGCACCCGGCGATGTCAGCGCTGAACAAAAGGCAGGTTCCTTTGCAGTGCTTATGGTGACTGCCTTTAGCGGTTAATGTCCCGAAGTGGGACATTTTGGTGTATCTCTTGGACGTGCTGCAGTCTTGGAGATCGTGAGGGTCTACATCAACCCTAAGGGCTGACGCGGAACAAGGCTGGGGGTTGGGCTTGAGTAACTGGGCCAGCTGAGGGTTGAGCCTGAGTAATTGGGCCACTCCAGTACTTGGGCCATCCAGAACAGGAGCCCCCCAGCTTGGTAGCAACCGTGGGATGGTGCCAAGTTAAAGACTTTGGTCGTTCTTGTCAGGGCGGTGTGCGTCCTTCGAGAGGGAGTTACTGACGCTCTATGGGGCGTCCTTCAAGAGGGAAACGACTACAAAGCCTCGTATCGCCGTGACGCTATGAACCCGAACCTGGTTATAAGCATAAGTTGGCGCCTTGGTAGATAGGATTTGGCGACGCATTGTTTGGCGATGTGAAATGCTTGAGCATGGGCGATTGCTTTTGGTGATAGCTGTAATAAGGTCATTGATGACGGGGATTGGTAGGTGACGGAACTGAAAGGCTGCCTCTTAAAGACACTTTAGAGAGGCTTTTCGGTTTCCGAGGAGCCGTAATGATGAGTTATCCCATCATTACTGTTTATTGCAGGCATCCAAGCGTCATAGGGTTCGGCGCATTAATGCTTCGCGACTGGTGACTTGTCTCTTTGAAGTGACCACCTTGCCCCCTCTCCTTAACCGCTCATCACACGATGAGCATGTCATCGTACGGTTAAGTGAGGAGGACTTACACGTGTCCGTGTGAAACCTCTCTCTCTCTCTCTTTACACGTGTCTGTGTGAGACTTCTCTCTTTCCCCCCTTTTTTTATAAAAGGGGAGGGGAGCCCCTTTGTTGGGGCTCTTTCTTACGCGAAAACTACACTCTTACGCTTTGGTCAAAGCCTTTGTTCCCTACCCTCAGTTCGGTGTGATATTGCCGGTCTTCTTTCTCTCCTTTTCTGCGATTCTCAGGTATAGTCCTTCTTCTTTTGTCGTTTCTATTCTCATTTTTGGTTGTCTTCTGTATGGTTAAGTTTACAGAACCTATCCCAGGCCTCATACTCCCTGAATTGGAAGTAGAAATCAAGGAAGAGGAGTTTGACGAGGCCTTTGAGGCATTGGGGAATAGTGCTGTGGGGCCAGCGATGCGAGAGTATCTTGCTAGTTGCCCCCCAAGTCGTCCCTTAGTTCCTGGGGTTGAGAAGTTTCCCCACGGGAAAGTACCCGAACTTCTGGGTTTTAGCGAAAAGGAGATTCAAAATCTCCTTCCCGAGAGAGCTTTAGGGCCTGTCCTCCCGTATGC